GAACTCGGCCTCCCTCTTCTTGTTCATCTCAATCTGGGCAGCTGTGGCTCCTCCAGCCTCCTCCAACCTCTCACTGATCTCCTCCAGCTCTCTGGCCAGGTCAGCTCTCTGCTTCTCCACCTTGGCTCGAGCAGCTCTCTCTGCTTCTAGCTCTTCCTCCAGCTCCTCAATACGAGCCTAGATTGGAGTCAAAAGCAAACCTTGACATTTAATTTTACTCCTCCAAACCATATGTTTTTCTTTTTCTTTTTCATGGGTCTTGTTTGATTCATTACCTGCAACTCCTTCAGTTTTTTCTGGAGCTGGGCACTCATCACCTGCTCATCCTCAACTTTACCATTCAGCTGACTGATTTCAAAATCTTTCCTTTGGATATAAAATAAAAAGGTTTCACTTGAGGCACAATCGAAAGTGTGTTTTTATTGCTTCATTGTAAACCTGCCCATCTCATCTTACTTTTTCAGCCTCTCTTCGAGCTGCTGCTTATCATTTTCCAGGTCCATGAGACTTTCTTGAGCTAACTTGAGGTCTCCTTCAAGCTTCCTCTTTGCTCGCTCAAGGTCCATACGGACTTTCTTTTCTTGCTCTAAAGACCCCTCAAGCTGTGGGGAAAAATAAATATTATTACAATGGTACTGATATATTAAAATTATTATTCATTAACTACCAAAGTCAGTCTATGTTCTTACATCATCAACTTGCTGCTCCAGCTTAGTCTTGGCCTTAGTTAGAGAGTTGACTTTGTCTTCCTCACTCTGCAGGTCGTCCAGAGTTTGCTGATGAGCTTCCTGTAAAGCTTTCTTTTCCTTGGTCAGCTTGGCAATGATCTCATCCAAAGCAGCCATTTCCTCAGTCAAGTTTTTTACCTATAGCCAGAATAGAGGTTCAGTTTAGTAACAGATTAATTTCACAATGACAGTCATTAATAGGTTTGTTGTACCTTGTTCTCAGTGGCATGCTTCTCCTTCTCCACTTTAGCTAGAGTTAACTCTAAGTCATCGATGTCTTTCTTCAGCTCGGAGCACTCGTCCTCCAGCTTCCTCTTTTTAGCAGTCAGTTCTGCATTCATCTCCTCCTCATCCTCCAGTCTCTCTGTCAGCTCTTTGATTTTGGCCTCCAGCTGAATTTTGCTCTTGATCAGCCCCTCACATCTTTCTTCAGCATCGCCTAGATTGTCTTGCTCCTGAAGAGAAAAAGTATGATGTACGCATTAAGCCGACAAACACACACAATACATGTGATGTTGATATTTGTTGTCATACTGTAAGAAACAATCCTTTAACATACAGCCTGAACTTGGAGCTGCAGGTCGTTCTTTTCTTGGAGAAGAGTGACCATTTTCTCTTCCAGTTCTTTCCTGCGGGCTTCTGATTTTGCATAAGCCTCTTTCAGTTTGGCAAACTCTTCCTTCATGTTGGCCATCTCTTTCTCAGTCTCTGCTGACTTCAGCAGAGGTTTGATCTTGAAGAACATCTTCATCCAGGGCCAATTTTTGACCCCCATGAAGGCACGGATGTTCCACTGGATCACAAGAAGAGCATCCCTGCAGACAACAGATAATCAGTGTTTGTAAAACTCCACCCACCGTTAATCCTTCATTAAAAATATGTTTTTAATATATTTTACCAAACCCTCACAACATTCTCCTATGCATGTATCTAATGACAGTTGCCGTATTTTGTGTCCATAAGTCCATGAACATATTGCATTTTGATATTTTGTTCGGTGATAAAATATGGTTCAGTGGAAAATATGTCTTGTATACTGGACAGATGATAAATTTTAATGATGCAAATCTGTTTTGACATTGTGCTGCACAACATAAACTGAGTTGGCTAACAGAATTTGACCAAGCTTTGATAAGTTACCTGCGTTCAACAATCTTCTGGAATTCAACTCTTGCCAGAAGGCCTCTTGATCGAGCTTGGATGCCAGTGATGATTAGGGCTAATCTGTCATCTCTCATCTCCTCTAGCTGGCCCAACAGCCCAGCCTTGAAAAACACCTTTTACAGCAACACATAACAGAGTCAGTAACAGCTTGTTTCTGTTCAAAGTGTTCTATAAGCATGCAAATACTGACCTTGGTGTGTCCCAGTTTGTACTGGTTGTGGTCTATATCTAAAGAACCCAAAAGTTTTTCAGCAGCCTTCTTGTTGTCAATGAACTGTCCCTCGGGAATGGCGTTAGGGTTCAAAATACGGTACCTTTGTTAGAAAAACAACAGATGAAAGAGTTGTTTCTTTTCAAGTACTTACTAATATGGATGGATTGATACCAATATGCATTTGTTTTAAGAGAACTTAAACCTCTGCTTGAAATCTCCATAGAGGATCCTGTTGGGGAAACCCTTTCTGCAGATCCTGATGCCTTCCAGCACACCGTTACAGCGCAGCTGGTGCATCACCAGAGGGTTCTCCATGGCCCCTGGAGTCTTGGTCTCGTTGGGGATGATGCAGCGTACAAAGTGAGGGTGAGTCGACCTCAAGTTGGTCATCAGCTTGTTCAGGTTCTCCTGAAAGTTTTTCATATGTAAATTGTTGCTATTGATTTTGACACCAAGTACAGTAAGTACGTAAGTTTCCTTTTGGGTGTTTACAAAGTAGTTGCCATAGTCAATTTTAGTCAGATTGTTGACCTTTCTAATGCAGCTCATAAAGGGTTTGTGTCGCCTGGTTAATTTCAGTGTCTATAACTTCAAAACTGGGAAAATCAGAACAAAGTTTTGAACCTCTATCAAAATAATGAGAAATTCTTGCTGAAGTCATGATGTATAACTCAGTACAATCTCTCCTTTACATTAAAAAATAAAAATGTATACATATCTCACCCTGTGCAAAGCTGATACAGTTTGGAAGGAAGAACCTTTCTTCTTGGTTCCACCTTTGCCCTTCCCACCTTCCTGAGCTAAAAAAAATTAATGTCAAACTTTATTGAGAGAACCAACAGATCACAACAGATTTTTAAGGCATTTCAAATCTGTAGAAAAAATGATTACAATACTGTTGTTGTTGGAAATTATTATTGACTTCTAATTTTCACTATGGGATGTCAAAATACCTGAATCAGCTCCTGCATATCCGGCAAAAAGCAAGCCTAAAAGCTTAAGGTTAGACTTCTGGAAAAGACCAACAACAGTCTCATTCAGAGGATCCTTGTTCTTCACCAACCAGTTGTTGATATTGTAATCAACAGTTCCAGCGTAGTGCACAAGGGAAAAATGAGCCTCTGGTTTTCCTTTGACAACTCTGGGCTTCTGGAAATTGTTAGATTTTCCCAGGTGGTTGTCATAGAGCTTAGCTTTAAACGTGGCATCACTGGCTTTGGGGAACATGCACTCCTCTTCAAGGATGGACATGATACCCATGGGCTAAGATAAATATAATGAAGAAAAACAATTTTCATGACAAAAATTTTAACATACATTTTAGTTTTAAGAATAACATGCACAAACAGTAGGATAAAAATAGAAATGTTTTTATATAGTCCAGTGTCACACCTTTTCAATCAGGTCGATACAGGCCTGCAGATCCATACCAAAATCAATGAACTCCCAATCGATGCCCTCTTTCTTGTACTCTTCCTGCTCCAGTACAAACATGTGGTGGTTGAAAAACTGTTGCAGTTTTTCGTTAGTGAAGTTGATGCACATCTGCTCAAAGGTGTTGAACTGAAATGAAATGGACCACAGTATGTTCATGATTTAAAATGCATCCTTACATTAGGGACAACCATTTATAAGATTATAAGAACTTATTTTTCCAAACTCACATCAAAGATCTCAAATCCAGCAATGTCAAGCACCCCAATAAAATACTGGCGAGGCTGTTTGGTGTCCAGGGACTGGTTGATTCTCACCACCATCCACAGAAACATCTTCTCATATACTGACTTAGCCAGTGCACCGATAGCGTAGTACACCTTAGAACGGAAATATGTGATTCAAAATAAATGGTGCGTTTTCATTAAATCAAAGCCTGACAAAATTCCCTGTAACTCTGTACCTGGGCGACATTCTGTCCTTTGGTGACCCACTCGTTTCCTACTTTGACTCTTGGGTGACAGAGACCTTTGATGAGGTCAGCAGAGTTCAGGCCCATCAGATATGCAACTTTGTCAGCATCTGAGAAATAGTGACAGTGATACATTTTTTGCATATTTTTTATTTTGCACAGTTTAAGATGTTCTGACAAAAATAACATCATCCATTCACATTCAGTATTTTTTTTTACTTTAAATTGTACTTTAACTGTTCTCCCCCAGAGCTGTCTGTTTTTCTGGTGGATAGTGGCTCTCACCATGACTTCTTGCAGTTCCAAAGCCTAAGAAATTGATTTTTAACCCTTTGCAGACTGATAGATGTTGTCTGTTGTAGAGGGGTTTTTTTTTTACATTGTTGTATCCTTCACTTTGTTAGGTTCCATTTAGCTTCTATTTAAGTGATTCCTTGATTCAACAGGTCTGGCATTAGTCAGGCGTCAGAGTGCCTAGTTATTTGAATATCATCTATTATGTTATAATTATATTTCTCACCTTCAGTACCATCGGCCTCTGCCTGCTCTTCTCTCTGCTTCTGTTTAAACTTCATGTTGCCATAGTGCATGATTGCACCAGTAAGCTTGTAAATACTGTTCTTCTCTTCTTGAGTGAAGCCCAGAACATCAAAGGCTTCCTGACGAAAATCAAAAACATTAATTTTACTATTTTCGTTTTTGTTTTATTAAATGAATTTTGGACTAAAATTGCTGCAGTGAATCTGAGATTCAACTCACATCAGTGGCCATCAACTCTTCAGAATCATTGATAGAGGCTACTGTTGTCTCTCCTTGGGAGATGAAGGCGTAGTCATAAGGGTTGTTGGTGATGAGCAGCATCTCTAAAATTAAATAGAAAATGTTTATTTCAATATGAAATGTATGATTGAGTACAAATCAAACACCTGTCCTGTACTCATCCTTACCTAGAAGTTCAGGCTTTATCTGAGACAGGATCTGGTAGAAAATGTGGTAGTCCCTCTCAGCTTTGAGCTGGAAGGTCACACGAGACTTTTCCAAAAGGTCTGAATGAGTTATCATAAATGGTATGAAAGTGTGACACACAGTAACAAATTTAATAGAGTTTTTCAAATGTTTAATTATGAAATAATACTCCAGTTTTAAACAGGCTTTGCATGGTTAAAGCACTCTTGGTTCATATTTGCAGAGGCCTTCAACCAAACAAAAATGGCTCAGAAAATGGATACATGGATTATCTTAATTTTACTTACAGGTCTCGATGTCAGCCGAGGCCAGCTTTCCTCGGTTGTCAAAATGAATACGGATGAATTTACCCTGGGAGGAAAATGTGTGTTCACTTGTATTTTTGGAATAAGAAGTAACTTCATTTTGGAATGTAAACAAGTAGTCTGACATCAGCCAGATACAGACACTCACAAATCTGGAGGAGTTGTCATTCCTAATGGTTTTGGCATTGCCAAAGGCCTCTAGAGCGGGGTTAGCCTGGATGATTTGATCTTCAAGGGTTCCCTGATTTAGTTAAACAAAAGAGAACCTTGAAAAACAGCAATATTATGACTATATTTTGTTTGTCTAACATTAAGAAAATCTTGTCTCATAAGAACCTTCTTCTCTGCAGCTGGATCTTTCTTCCCACTTGGGACAGCAGCAATGCTGGCAAAGTACTGAATGACACGTTTGGTGTTGACAGTCTTTCCAGCTCCAGATTCTCCACTGAGTGGATAAAAGACATACATTTCAAGACCAAGAAGTATAACTCTTAACTGCTGAAAAAAGACCCTTGTTGGTAAAGTTACTTACGTGATAAGGATTGACTGGTTTTCTCTGTCTGTCAGCAAGAGAATATCAGAAAATCAGGGAAAATGCGACGATGTCCAAACAA